GCCACATGCCCGATTCCCACCGGGCACAAATCCACACAGAATTCCCTACCCGCCAGCACAGCGACCCCTCATCAAAGCTGCGAGCGCTCCAGCTGCTCCGTAAGGATGTGTAACTGACATGTGAAATAAGGAAATATTTCTCTTAAAGTTGCTGTGCCTTCTGCAGCACCTGCTCAGGCAGGAGAGCTGCGTTTCTGCCTCACTACCTGAAGTCTCATTCACTGAATGAATCCCTCGTCTTACCAGCAGCTGCTTCGTTCCTGGGCTATCAGCATATTTGAACTGACAATTTCTCAAGCCCAAATTCGCTGTGAGCGATGAATATCTCCAAGGTCATAAATTAACACATAAATTGCTACATTACCCACATACAAGCCTTTAGTGGACCAGGAATACCAAGAGAATTAAAAAAAAAAAAAGCTATAAAAATAAGAATCTATCTGCAACATCCTAGTCAGCTAAATATAAGATTATTTTGTAGCAGAAAGAGGAAAATAATAGTTTTGTTATAAAGATACTGACAACTGACACAAGAGTGTGTCTCTAAATATATTTATGCGTGTGTATGTGTAATGTGTATGTGTGCGCATAGCCACATAATGAAAAACCTGCATTTGATATATTATATATAACTTATTAGAAATAGTTTGGGAGATGGATAATTTAAATGATATTTTTGCTACCTATTTAAGAAAAATATTTTAAAAGCTCAAGCTTTTCAATTAACAAAATTAAAAATATAGTTCATAAAGCATACAAAGAAAACACAGTAATTGCTAAACAGTATAAATTAAAAAATGAACATTTACATGCAAAATGGTTTACAGGGAGAAAGTGGGTGCACACTGTAGGGTAGAATGACTGCAGGATGGTGAACTGTTCACCTTCCAGAAGGAGTAATTGAAATCTCAGCTTGAAGGTCAATGCCTGAATGGAATCAGATGCCTTTTAGCAACTCCTAAACAGAGAGGGAAAAAAGTGCTGGCTACGAGCTTCCATTGCTGGCTACGTGCTTCCATTTACTTTCCAGGAAGAAATTTTCGACTCCCAGGTTTCCTCATCCTGCTGGCAAGTTCAGACTACTATAACTAGCAGACATAGTTAACATAGTTCTGTATTGATACGAGGCACCCAGCAAGCACGGCTGTACAAACTTGATGGCCCTTACACAATATCGTGTTCCCAAAAAAGCACCCAGGCATTCGGCATGGAAACTTGCCAAAGTAGACATTCCTTTTAAAAAAGTGGATTAGCATTCTGTTCAGGTAAAGGAAACCATACTCTCTTGAATCCCATTTGGCAGCATTTAAAAATCCTATTTAAACACATAAATGTCTCTTTTTAATTATCCAACATTTGCCCTCTCTTTCCAAATACAAAGAATGGTGATGCTGAGAAAGACAGTTTTGCTTTCTAAATGCATAAGCCATTCCCATATATATATCCTTCCCATACCCCCTCCAAAACTAAAGTTGTTTGAGGACAGCATATTCCCATAAGGCTTGCAAAGACAACAGACAAGCGATCTTATTCTAGCCTGTTCTTTTCCATACAACTTATGGCTCTTCTGTAGCTCCCCTCTTTGCTGGCACCAGCCCTTGCAGCTGCGTTCCCTGCGCGCGGGCTGAGCTGGCCCATCCCGGCGCAGAGCAGGAACACGGGGATCCTGTGAGCTCACGGCCTCGGCAAAGCACCCTCCTCAGGACCCGGCTCCCACCATGGCCATGGATGGCACCCTTGCCTGTGGAGACAGATTTCCAATAGCAGAAAAGCAGCACAGGAGTATATTTTAACCACATATCTCAGGGCAACTGCATATCCATACCGTTTGAAGTCATCTCTGTACTGTATGACAGTGTAGCCAAATACACTAATCCTATTTGCCTTGTGGACTGAACAGGTCACACAAAGCACTCACTACATCTAAGTTTATTTCTCATCACTTAAGCCCTAATTGTGTAAATTGGTTTGTATGAAGCTTCATCACAAACTCAAAGCACTTGATAACTATTTTCCCTTTACCTACTTTTACCAGGCTGCAAGTTCCAGAACGGTCACTGGTGAGTGCTTCAAACTAGTTTTCTAAAAACATCTCTTTTCATAGATTTCCTTTATGAAAGATTCAGAAACACAATGGTTAATCAAAATGCATCCTGATTCTTATTCACTACACATCTCCCTGCCAGCAGCCCCGTACATTATTGCGCCACCACGTTCCCAGTGACAACACCCTTCTTTTCAGCAGGTTGGGTGAAATACCCTTGAATTACAGCCAAGACACACTGTCAGTCTTGGGTGAGGATGGTCCGCCCAGGAGGGAGGGCGGATGAGTTACACAGGGTCCCTGTTGCTCCAGTTTCCAGTCTCTTAGCCTGACTTCCTCACTGAGGTGTTAAGGAGCAGCAGCTCACTGCTCCTGGAAAAGGAAGCAGCCAGGCCAGGCTGAGGAATGAGGGACACATAGGAGAGAAAAAGAAAACAAACCCCCAAAGCCTCTGTCTTTGAGGTAATTTCGCCTCCTCCTTGAGGAACAAGGAGGAGCTCCTCAAAGCTGAAGGAGAGTCAAGGCAGAAGTATTTTTACCTGGAGACTTGCAATCACACAGATCTCAGAGAAGGCTTAGAGAAAGATTAAGAAAAACCTTGTTCTTTAGTAACCACCAAAGCAACCTGATGGACCCTCCAAACCCCCACCTGCAAGCCAAAGACCAGAGAAGGTGCAGTGCAAGACTATGAAGACCAATTTGAAATTAAATCCGCTGCTTCACTCTTCCTCAACTACTTCTAGCTAGAGGCTGAGTTGCCAGAAGCAGTGAAGAAGGGCCAGAGCACCTTATTTTGCTCCAGAGATGCCTTCAGGCCAGGAGATGTGAGGAGATGGGCCATGGTCTCATCTCCCACCCTTGGCAGAACAAGGGGGCTTAAGAAAGGCTATTGCTAGTCTCCAGCTCAGCAGCATTTTCAACATATTGATCTCTGCCTTCCCACCTCCCTCCCTACACTCAACAGTTTGAAAGTTAAACTGGCATAAAAATAGCTTTTGTCTGATGCTTAATTGGTTCCAATTAAAATAAACTATATTTAAGTAGTATACCTGGAGCTGAAGTCTGAATGATGCTCATCACAACAAACTAAGTGATAAAAAGCTGCATTTACACATGAATGTACATGCAAGCTCCCAACTCCCAAAGGGATTTGTTATGAATCAGATATTCCACTCAGCATTAGAGTCTTATGAGTCAAGAAAATAATCACTTCAAGTGCTTTTAGAAAGGTGGTTTCTGCTTGACATCAGTCATTTATATAGATTAAAAGGTGTGCCTAGTACTTAGCAGACTAGACAAATAAGACAAGTAAATGCTTTGTAGTTTTTAGAGCCATAATAAGATCAAACAAAGAAAGAAAAGATTCTCTTTTGGAATGGAATGAATAAAGAATAGAAAATATAAAAAACTTATTTTGCTGTAGTATTTGTATGATGTAGGATATTTGCATTTCTATATTATTTTAGACAGTGCCTACAATCACTACTCATCATTTTAGATAAACTGATTTACACAGTTCACTTAAACTCTCATTTTGCTATAATCAAGAACACATTCTATGCTCACCTTTTTCAGAAAGGAATTCAAATCATTTAGCTGTTAAGACTGTTCTAGGAAGAAAAATAAACAAACCCCCCACATATTTCTGCAATGTATACTTGCATCAACACTTCTTTCAAGAAGCAGTAGCCTAGATGTCAGTTACTGCAATCTGTGTGGCTGCTTTAAAAAAAATTAAGTGAATATATTTTCTGTTGTTTTCTGTTCTTAGATGGCAGTCCTAGAAAAGATATCTTCTCTGCGTTCCACTTAATTCATATCACTTCAGCAAAAAAATAAAAAAAAAAAAATAAAAAAAGATTTTAATTTGCTCTTCCCAGCAAAGTTTTCCAGTCATCTTATTTTCCCCTCTCTACTAAAGCCTAACAATCATCACCATCTCTTCATTAAATATATTCATCTGTACTCCACAGGAAGGCTATGTACACTTAATATATACATATATTTATATATATTTATTTCCCCCCAACACAATCAATTAGCTTACACATTTGTATAACATGTTTGCTCACATGTTAAAGTTGTTCTGACTTCAGTGCTATAAGCAAAAGTATCTGCCTACAACAGCAAACAACTATGATTTAAAGATCAAGCACACAGTTTTAGTAGCATTCTGTTACAAGCTGTTTATTAGAACTTTACTTTGACAATAAATAAGGTATTTTCCAAGCAATCAAAATGTAATTATTTAGAAAGTTAAACAACTGAAATTTTCACAATGCATTTTTTTTATATACATGATTTACTGTATTTTTAAACACCAGTTCATCTGGAGCTGTACAACAGCAGGACTTTATTATTTTTTAAATTCACACAGCAGACCATTGAGACAGCTTCATTCTAGAAGCTGTGTGTAAAAATAATCCAAACTGTATCAAACTGAGTTTGGATGGTCCAGCTTTATGAATGAGCCTCTTCCTTCACTAGACTATCTGTTGCTGAACTCAATTTTTGCTGTATGGCTTACACAGGAGAAATAGTGCCTTTTAGAGATCTATGGTCTTAGAGTAAGCCACTTAAGAGTAATGCCAAGAGCAGGGGTTAATCATTTGTAGCTCTGTTACTGCACACCCTGTTCTGCCCTCAGCAGCAGTGGCACAGAACACTCATTTTCAGTGCTGCAAACCCCAGTACTAGCAAGTACAAACTTCACACTTCCACCTACCATCAATTATGAAAATGTCTTTTGGTTTTGGTCAAAGTAATTTGCCTTTTTTGCTTAAATATTCTAGACATTTAATATGCCTACAAAATAATACTTTTAAGAGTCTGATGTTCACAAAGTTAATTTCAAAAGAAAGAATGTTCATGTTAAATAAAGCACCAACTTTTCGCCACATTTATTCATTAAAGTATCAAAGACTAGATGTTTTAAAACATTAGCTCTGAGAGTTGCAATTTAAAAATAAAATTTAATCCTTATGGTTTTATCAAAGCCATGTTTCCAAAGCAAGTTTTATACATTCTGTGCAACATCCCATTTTCCTTAAGTGCAGAGGTACAAGTCTCCAAGTTAGGCAGCTGCAATTGAGTTATCATCTGCTTGTCGACCCTGAGGCTTTGAGGGGAGGGGAAAAAAAAAAATTTTAAAAACACAAGAGATTAGAGTAGAGTAACATCATGTTCATGACTGCAGGTGAAAAACAACCATGGCATTAAGTCTATCCTTGCTTCTAAGCATTTCTAGTGGAAGGAGCTTTAAGGAGCACATCCCACAGCACTGGTAGTAGACCTCGGCTCCTCAAAACCTCCCTGCTAAACACCAAGGGCATCTCCTTGCACATCTGAGTAGCTTAGCACAAGGCCTGGCTGATTAGAGCTCTCCAAGTATTACTGCAGTGTAAAAAAGATAAGGAATGCATGAACCACTCTAGAAGAATCACTGATTCACAGCATATATACAAACTAGGTTTTATCTATTTCTTAGTTAGAATAAAATTGAAAATGTCTGGCCCATTTCCAGGAAACAGGATTATAGATGTCAGAACAAGCCCATCTCAAGTAACAGGAACAAAATTCAGGCTCACTTGCTAAGAGTTTAACTAAAATATCAATGCAATACTCTGGAAGCAGAAGGAGCATAAGAACACAGTGCTTTAGGTTACTGGATTTAACCTACTTTGAAAAAATGAGGAAAAAAGTACAGAAGATCTATTTATCATGACGTGATTGAACTGACTTCAGAGCTGCATCAGTTAAAAAAAAAAAAAAAAAAAAAAACACTTATTGAGAGTGATTCATGGAGAGGATGTATCTTCAGAAGTTATTTTGGGATGTGGAAGATGCTACAGAGTTTCCAAAATTAAAAGTCACAGAGTGCTCAAATACTTCTTATTTTCAAGACTGCTACAAATTACAGTATTAAAATACAGTATATGACATTTAGCTTCTTCCACTGCACTCGAAGGATGGACAGCTGTAATATTCATTTTATATAGTAGGCCCAGTAACAGGCTAAGCACATCCAGCTATTTGATTCAATTTTAACCAAGTGTCTGTTGCATGTATGAGCCCTGCTTGTACACAAGCACCTTTCCTAAGGGTTCTGTTTGACAACAGCACAGAGATCATCACACATTCACAACCCAAGGCTTCCCAAAGTGAATGGACAACTAGTAACCATCCATTCTAATCTGCTGAGACCTTGCACAGAAGGATGGTAGTCCTCAAAAGGAGAGCAGTGCTACAAAAAGCCCTTCCACACACAAGAAGCTCCAGTCTTACCTTTACAAAAATGTGTGTAGGGATGAATCGTCTGAGCAACTGATCAGTGAAGTTTGGGAATCGCATCAGGTTAACATGAAGAGATGGCAACTGCTGATATCCAGCCATGAGAGGATAGAAGTTGTACAACATTTCCTGCTGCGTGCCAGGAAGGATTCGCAGTCGGATCTAAACAAGCAAGCAGACACACAGTTGTGACAAAGCTGTTTGCTATTTATTCATTGTTTACAATCTCTGGTTTTAGAAATAATGCAATAGCTTTCCCCTTCTAATTGAAGCTGTTACTTCCACTCTGAAACACAGTGCTAGGTACAAGCAACATGCCAAACAGCTCCTCGCTAGGCTTCCATGTAGCCCTTCTTTAAGAGAGGCCTGTGCACGCTTTTATCCACACAGAATTTACCTTTGTTTATCATACTTAAGTTTTTTACAAAATACTGTGATTGCCATCTCCACATATCAGTGTAAATCCAACCTATGTATTCTTCACTATCAGTTAAGGAACAGGATCTGTAGATGTCATATTTTCATACCTGCTTAAGGCCAGAGAACATGAAGGCATCACTGGGTTCCACTGACACCTCCACATCCTGGACTAAATTGGTCTTATTTTGCAGGTGATATCTGACAGGGAGAGATTCTCGGACTCGACCAAATGATGGAAGATCTTTGGAAAGAAATAATCCCATATATAAAATAAGTTTTAAAGTTGAGTAAACAAGTCCAGCTCAAAGAACAATCAAAAGTTCGGGAAAAAGTTACATTATGCATCCAAAATATTTCTAATGAGATTTTTCATAAAAAAAAAGATTAAATAGCACTCCTGCAACACTCAAGTCAAAATCCCCAACTATTTACACTACCTGGGGATGCAGGCAGGGAATCAGTATGGCCACTGCCACTGGCCATTTTCAGTTTACTAAGACCTTATTGGATGCTGTCAGGATGCTGCTTAAAAATATAATGGGACAGGATGATGGGGAAGTATCAGTACAAACAAACAAAAACTGAAGAAAGCATAGCGATTTTTGAGAACTCTGCACTCCCACTCTGCTCCTGTGCAGGTGAAGTGCTAGAAGAGAAATAGTTCACCTGCCCACAAGCAGTTCCAATACTCCAGGCTGTTTCTCTCCTGGGATGCTGCCAGGGTGTGGGTGGATGGAACAGCCACAAGAATCTAGAAAAACCTATGGGAAGAGGCAAACCTATGGGCCTCAGCAGAGGCAGTTGTTCTTGCTGTGCTGCCAGCAGGCTGTTCCAGTTGTAGCTTTTAAGAGAACACGTTCACTCAACTTCACTGCAACTGAGGAGTGCAAAGAGGAGCAAGGCTTGGGGCAGCCTAATGAGGATACATTTTCTTCAACTGGCCCCATAGTATCCATCAGTAGTTTTCTGCCTACAATGAACACGAGCTCTAGATGCTGTAAGACTACATAGCGTTCACTTCAGAAAATATAAAAGTTTTTAATGGGCCATACATGCTGCCAGTTTTTATTACCTGCATTAACGTGGAGGGGAATGCTCTCTACAATCACATGTGGTAGAGTTATCACTGTGCTAACAACAGGTACACTTTGCACAGGTGAACTTCTGCAGGAAAGTCAAACAGATGATATTCAAAGTTATATAACATTAACTATCAAGGCAATAAGTCAAAAAACTCTCCTTATAGTTTATCCAATAAACTATACTAATTCCAGTGGTTTAAAAAAAAGCAATTTTACATTGGACTGCTGGAAGCAGGAAAAAAAAAAAAAAAAAAAAAAAAAAAAAAACCTTGAAAATAGTAATGGGGAAGCCAAAAAAGTAAACAGTGCTCTGTCTAAACAAAACAAGAAAAAAGCTAGAAGACTATCTAAGTATTTATTTTCAAAAACTCAAATGAGTTATGTTAGGGTTAAGACAGGGTAAGAAATTGTTTAGTTCTCCTCCTAAAGGTGTTTGTTTTTAAGACCAAAAACTATTCCTTTAACATGGCTTCTCAAGTAAAATACCTCATGGCTGAAGAAAACAGGGAGTGAAAGGTGGTAAGAAAAGGCTTTGCAACCAACCTAAGGTCTTCTAAAGAAGAGAGCTTCATACAATGTCAAAACCACAACTACATAACACTTATTTTGTAAGGGAATATGTATTTGCTTAGAAACCTGAGGAGTTTTAAAGCTTACTTACAGAATCAGCAATCACTGAGATACAAAATCTAGACAATGCTTGCCAGCTTCCCCTTGCTCCCCACCCCAGTTCAGGCCAGCAGATACCTACCTCCTCCAGGAAACGGTATAACATCCAGTTGCTACCCCACCAGCATTAGTAATTGGAGGACACCTAAGGCAAAAGCATTCACTGGCACTCTCACCTGTCTGTAAAACAACTATCAGCAAGATTTTGTTTAAAATCAAAGAACAATCATTACTACAGAAGCCACTAAGTCTTAGAATCCTGTATTACAAAACAGATACAAAACTGTTCAGTCTGAAGGGCCTAGAAGTGTTTTGCAAACTACACCTACATAGTAAAGAATTCAATAAATTCAGAAGTGTGCTGACACATGAAAGCGTTGCACATACACATACAAATCCAAGTAATAATTAAGGGGATCTTTAAGTCTTATAAGAGGAAAAGCAACAACAAAAAACAAATACACCAAGAAGTCAGGCAGTTAATTAGTTGTTATCTGGGGGATTCATTACTCTTGGCTGTTGGCTCCTTAGAGGTATTCACTGGTAGGTATTCAAGAAGCACAAGCTGCCATTACAAAATATGAAACCTCATATTTTGATGAGTAAAAAACCTGGGGAAATCCTTGCTTTCTGCCAGGCACCCTCTTAGCAGATTCAACTGCAAAGGAACTGCAGTCTTGCAAGCCCTCAACTAATTGGGCAGAGAGCAGCCCCACGACCAAACAATGATCTAGGCTGTCTCATCTGTGTTCTAAGCTTTGATAAAACAGATAGGTTTTCATGTCCATGTTGATGCAGTGAATGCAAAGACCATGTCCTGTTGGAAGGCTTTTGATCAACTCTACAGCAAGTTTTTCCAGCTTTAGAAGTTATTGTACTAAGTTCTTAAAAGTTAGGATCTGTAAGATAATAGTTTACTACTAAAATGTAAAAACTAAAATGTGTTAATACAAAAAAAAAAAATCTTACTTCTCATCACTCTTCTTATGCTACTCTGTTTAGCATTTTCCAGTTTCATGACTAAATTTATAGACATGGCCTCTTTTAGCATTTAGATGCTGTTTCTATCAAGGGGTAAAGTGTTGGCATTCCGGAAGGTACTTGTAGTCCATGAAAGCTGGAAATATTGAGCATCTTTTCACACGAACAGTTAAGAAGCTGTACATCGGGTATATTCTTATGTGCCTTCCCTTGCACCTGCTATATTTTAAATTTTGGTTATCACCTACTAATCAATTCCATTTACCAGATTTAGTGAAGTAGAGCCACAGTTTTTAAATTTACTGCTACCTACAATGTGTTTTATCAAGCAACTGATGTATTTAATTTTTTTCCCCTAGATTTTCTCATTGACAAGCAAATATTGTTTTAAAAATAACCCTCTCAGCCCACGTAAGAAAAACTTCATGAAGCAAGCACAGCTTACCATTTTCCACAAAGGACTCCAGCTGATCTACTGGAGTCACAGCAGGTAAAAGCTGTAGCTGGCTGGTCACTATGGTGAGAGGCCAAGGAGAGGCACTCAGAATGTCTGTCATCAGTAAGAAGGGAATATCTGCAAAGACCCTGTCCAAGTGTTCCAACTGCCAAGACAAACACGTAGCATCATTTTCTAATTGTGATATCCTGTTCAGTTAAAAGTGGTGTGATTCTAAAATATCTTTTTTTTTTTTTTTTTTTTTTTTTTTTGAACACGTACCTTTGTGGAGACAAATTTGATAGCAACGTCAAATGGAAATACTGTTTCTATAGTTACAGTTTCATCCTGTATTGGTAATGAAAGGGATAGGAGGAATGGGGTAGGGGGAAAAGAAACAAAAAGTTATATTCAGTTTCAGACCTAGTCACTGATGTCAAATTAAATAAAATGGTGTTAAAAGTAAGCTTACTCTTAAGTTCTCCCCTGAGCCAAAGGCATCATTTTAGGAAAGCAAAAGATAGTGTTCTTTGTTTTGATCATGAGTGAGCACTCATGAAGGTGCTCACCCTAATTTTGAAGAAAAGGGTGACAGTTCTCTTCCTCTCTATCCCATTAAGAGTCATTCTACCATTCCAGTGTCCTGAATTACTATAGTATGATTAACTCAATCAGGATTATATAGAAGAGCAGATGATCAGTTGTTTTAAACGTCTGTCCAGAATAAAGTCTCCCAAAAAAAGTTTTAAGTGAATTCTGTAGTTCTCTTTCAACACTCTTCTGTTTATTCTCCACAGAACAGACCAACACGGTTTCAACATAAACACCCAATTTACAAGGTTTCCCGATTTATGTATTTCACAAGCCAAAACTGGTGTAACTGATGTAACCATAACTGATAATGAAAATATTAAACTATTGGTCTAGATGAAATACAGGAAACTAGTTTAAAAAAGGAATTGGTAGTATTACAATTCTAGTATGGGATACTAGCCTAGAGAGGACAACTCACATGTGAGCTTTTCACTGCTCCAATACATCCCTCAAAAACAGTTTCACATTCTGCCACATTCACCAGAAGGTGAATCACCTAAAATATTGAGCATTTGCGTCAGCTTTTCTCCCCTAGCCTTTCTAAAATAAATAAATAAATCTTTTCAATAGAATCCACTGTCTAAAGCTATCTTCTCAAAATATAATTGGTCCTATTAGGTTCTGTATTGATAACTACCTATGAAAGAACAGTTAATCCCCCTCTTGAAGCAATCATGATACCATGAATATAAGTATTTCCTTCACCAGAGAAATTGTATCACTTCTATCACAATCTCAGTTCTGTGCAATGCATGGCCACATTATTTTGAATATTCTGGACATTTACCCATGTTCAAGCTGTTCTGCCATTCATCCACTCAGTGGTTACTAAACATACTGCTGTTTTTCTGTATACTGGAAATGCTTTTAAGAAACCTGGAATTGCATTGAAGAACTAAAAGACACATTCTTAATCTAAAGGCTGCGTATCTCCAGCAACTGATGCATTTTTAGGTCATACCCGGTGGCACTTGCAGAGAATTTCTTTCTCTTCAACAGTAGTAGTGATTAAGTAGGAAACATAAAACAGAAACATCCTTGCGCCAACTGTTCCACAACGAATGTATATTGCTTTTTCCACCTGCAAAATAAAGGAGAGGGGAAAAAAAAGAGCTAAGCACTCCATATGCCTGGAGCTATCCTGAATTTTTTAAATGATCATCTCAAGAGTGCAAAACTAGGATGACTATTTTTGACTGTAAAGAATCTGTTATACTGTATTACCTTGACCATGCAGTGTATGCTTTTAACACTTAGTAGCAGCATGCTATTTAATAATTCAAGATCAGAGCCATTATATTAGGTATGATTTATCCAACTTCTCATTTACTTGTCAGAATTCCAGTTCAGTGAAACATCTGCCAACTTGAGCATCTACCCCTGCAGAAGCATCCTGGCGACTACTACTATCCATGGTCTGTTATCCAGTGAATGTAATTAACAGTTGAGCTTTACCTCCTTATTTTGTTTTAACCTTCACCCTTATCCTATTCTAGAATATATAATATTTTCAAATTCAATCTAAAAGAGAATCCAGCTAAAGGAATACTCAACTACAAGCAAATATGAGGCAAAATATGCATAAGTATTTATCAGTTCCAATATCTGAAACTAAATCCTTCTACATGAAAGTCCTTTATTTGTTGAAGAGTAAGAAAGTGATACTCATTTTCTTAACTATGATATATAAAAAAGTTGATGCATTTACTTTTTCCCCTGGTTGCAGGTCTCCAATAGGTATGTCAGTAAGCAGTGCAGGAAAGGAGTCATCACATGCTTCTGCTCCATGCAGAGTCACATGAGTTTTTTGAGTCAGGTTAGCATCTTGTCCTAAAATAAAAAAAAAAAAAGTCTTCATATCCACAAAGATTAATAGATTATGTTATTTCAATTCCTGAAACAAATTGCTGCAACCCAAAACACCAAAGTGTTTATCCCAAAAAAGCAACTCTGCAAGTTAACATAGTTCTTTAGGTTGGGAAGTTTCCAAAAGTTTTTCAAAAACCAGCAGAAAGATGTACAAGGAGATAAATAGACAGCACCTAAAGTTTTCCAAATTGGAGAATTTGCACCCACTAGACCTTTCTCCTGCAAGGTTGTTTCAACTAGCTAGGCCAGTCTCAAGTTCAGAAGTCATATCCAGATGTTCCCTACCATACACAAAGCACAATATGGTTATGTGATCCAAGTTTTTCTTGGCAATCTATGCCAGCAAGCAAGGAAAGGCAAGTAAAATGCAAGTTTCACAGTTCTGCGAGTCTTACATTTTCAAGTTCAGTTTAATGCTTTTAGGCATTTTTAAATTGCTCTTCCAAGTTACATTGAAAATATGCAAGCAAAATGCATAGATGTTAAATGACATTATTCTTCACTTATAGGTTGCCTAGAATAATCTACAAAGATTACAAGGGAACATTTTCAAAGGAAAGCAAGTCACATCTTGCCAGAAAGTCACAACTGTGGAAAATATATCATTTTTCCTATAAACGAAATGTCAGAGTTCAATTGTTCTTTTAAGGTAATCAGTAAGCCCAGAATGACCCTATATATCAAGTTTTAAGATTAGAGAACAAGGCGGAAAAAAAAAAAAGAAAAAAAAAAATCAAAGACAGAAAATTAAACACTGTTAGCAGCTCAGCACAAACTTCTGATTAAATAAGTCTAAAGAATACCCTATTGACATTAATGAACTGTACAGGTGTATAAGGGAACGTGGTTCTACTTTAGATTACACAGCACACCTCATAGCAGTTATCCAAATAGCAAAAGTATTTTTATGCATGAACATGCAGGGCATAAGCAGTCATATATACCGAGTATAATGTTTGGACTTCACATTTGAAAAACTGTCAATACCAATGATAGTCAATAACTGTCATACATCTAACTAAGATCTAACACACAAAACTATTCTTTCCCTTTTCCTTCAAAGGAATACAGTTGCAATTCTCCATCCCTCCTCCAATTTCAAGGGTTTTTAAAACAACATTTGCTAGAAACCCTGCACTGCCCCTCCTTAGAGGATATATTAAAGAAAATATTTATCTAGCTCCATTTGATACTTTTACCTCAGCAAGAAAGTCTATTACATTTTCTTAAGAAAAGAAAGTTTAATTCATTTGTAAATGGAAAGTTCCACATTTTCTTTCAAATCCCTCTAAAAACTTGTATTTCTGGAAAGACCACTAAAAAAATACTAGTGAGTAGCAGTGATTACAATAGCTACCATTGGATGATTCTTAACTGCTGTCTTATCACTGTTATTGCACCATTCCCAAGTGTCAGACCAAGGAAAGGTTAAGTAGAACAGGAGAGCGCCATTTATTACAGTTCCCTGCATCCAGAAAAGGCAGTTGATGGAGTAAAACAAATAAAAAAAACCTCACACCAGCAAATACCTGGCTTTAAACCTGCAGTGAGCTTAACGTCTTTGGCAACCGTCTCCTCCTGTGACTGGACTGTCACAATCAGACAATACATTTCATTAGTCAGGGCTGGAGGTTCATGACGGAGATGAACACAAATGTTTGGCACTCTAGAAATGATCCTTCAAGAGAAAAGATCAAGGTATAGCATGTTTCTTAAATGCAGAGTTTAAGGATAGTTTAAAGGCAATAGAAAGACCTTATTGTTCAAAGAGTTCTGATAGCTGTGGCACACTCAAGCAGCACATTTGAGATCTCCTTTGAGAAAAGCAGTATGACAAGAGATACACTACAAAAATTAATTGGGACATCTGTACTCTAGAAGTTAAGATTTTCTGCCACGAAAGACAAGCCCACCACCCCTAACAGATTTGACTTTTCTGAAAACACCCACTACTAATCTGTTCATTAATCATTATTTCCCTAGTATAGGTTCTCAGGGATGGTGTGTGTACACACCTGCATGCAAATACCTTCATGTGTGCACTTTTCTTTAAATGTTGTGAACAACACTTTCTTGGTTGCATAACAAGCATGGAAAGCCTGTCTAACAGTTAGGAGAAGGAGAAATATAAAGTGAACTGCTCCGAGATATGCTCTCGGGATGCTCCGAGATGAGGGTAGACTTATTTTTACAGCTCTTGCTATCAGGGAGCTCCAAAGTCCTAAAGAATTAAGACAGGTATCAACTTATCCCCACTCAGTTAGGCAGCAACATACAAGAATGCTCTTCTAAGGGTGTCCGAAGAAGTTTGTCTCTTTTTACACCGAGCAACCAGGAGTTTGCAGGACTCACATAATGATACATCATTCAAAATTTGAATATGTTCAAAGTTTTACTTACATAGTGCTTGCCTGAATAGTCAAGCTGTCCCAGTGAACTTCATTATCTGGAAGCTTAGGTCTTCGCCTGAAGGAACGGGCTGCCTGCAACGCTTCCTGAGATGAAGCAGCATCTCCACCTCCTCCCCGCCAATTCAGAATCACACATCTACCAGAGTCACTTCCCAGGATCAAATCCACAGAGGTGATCTGATAGGCATAAATTCAAAAAGATACTGATAACTTCCCCCGCCTTTTGTCCTCAGATCACCCACTGTAAGAATAATTTTCCAATACACATAGCTCCAGTAAAGATGCTTATTACCAAAAGCTTCTTGCAGCTTTGTAGACCAAAGCATCCTCAGCAGCACTACAAAATTTCAATTAAGGAAACTGTGGTGGAAAAATATATATGCCCATGTGTGAGCAATACAGCCTTTTGTAGTTTCCTTTGCTCCTTCAGTTCCACCATGCATTTCTTCACATTATATATATATTTAAAGCAAAACAAAATTGTACTTAAGTTTGTTATTTCCTTTTGCTTTGATATTGCTAAAAGCAATTTACTCTCAGTTTTGACATTCAATCCAGGACTAGTAAGTTTCAAACAATTTGAAATTGCACTAACATTAGTGAGTCGTGCCAAATTACAGATAGGTTTATCATTCTTTGTAAACATCAGTAAGAAAAGCGCAAAACAAATAGACAAACCTCAATCTTTTTTCCTACATCTTCAGTTTTTGCAACAAATTTGAAAGTGAACTTCCTTGTTTTGCCAGGGACCAAGCACATTGTTCCTTGTGATGACTGTTCTAGAACATCACTTTTTTGATAGGCTTCTTCTACCACACAGTACTGATTATAATCCTAATCAGGAAGAAAGGAGAAAGAGCTTATAGTTATAGGTTTAACACTTTAAATAAATAAAAATCGATAAATGGTAGCATAGCAAATATTAAAGCTCTGCTACCAAATAAAGTTACATTAGTTCTTTCTACTTTTCACTCTACTGAAACAAGACTTAAGTAGAGTGAATTTCTTGATATGAAATACCCGCTATATAAGCTAATCTCGCTTCACATAAAAACAGCAAGGGAAAGATGACATTGAAGATTCACAAGGATCATTTTAGAGAGTTTTATAGAAGAAGATATTCTCTGCATACTAATTAAAATGTAAACTTTGGAAGCTTTATCACAATATCAATAAAGATAACTTTGCAACTACAGTATTAGCAGTCAGAAAAAAAATAAAAAAAGGATTCTTATGATATTTACCAAGTTAAAATAGACATAGTTACCTGGTTATTGAAGCTGACACAGAGCTTAGAAAACCTGATAGGATGAGGACAATCAGCTTTCAAGTATACATCAAACTGCACAGGTACATCAACGTGAAAACTTGGAGCAAAGAATTTTGCTTTACATTGCACTAGAATTAAAAAAGTAGTTGTTACGTACATCAAACTACAACATGAAACTGCAGAAGCACTCTTCTCTCTTGTTACTGTTACGTTAAGGATTGTTTTGTATATACACACCCAAGCCAAAACTTCAAGTGTTGGACATACTTGGCTCCTGGCACTGCCACACACAGCTGCTTTTTGGAATTTTGCTGAAAACTTCGTAGCAGCAGTCAGGGAGTGAGGAGACAGGTGTCCAGGAGGGAAAGAAAACCCCTTCGATTTTACTACATTTTGCTCTGCATGTAATGCTCACTCACACCCCCTTTCCATGGGAGGTATTATTTGCATACATTCTGTCCTCCTTTGGCAGTATTCTGCTTCAAAGCACACCACAATTCAAGTGCCTCAAAGAGCAAATTCTTATTATTTCTACTTTAAAAGTATAGGTAGCCTCAGTTGGAAATAGAGAGATTTTTTCCTCAAGCACTAAACTCAAATGATTCCTCTTGATGTTGAGTCAAGACAGAAAATCACTGACTTCTCATGATTCCTTAGCAGTGCTGGCACAAGAGTTTCAGTGTTACTGGTTTTAATGTACACTGCATAATTATATTTTGGAAAGAAACAATTGGGACTATTATGTCCAAATTTATAGCTTGATGCAAGTTTGCTTAAAGCTTTATTACTTACCAAATGGTATAAAATCTTGGACTTCTATTGTAAAAACATTACTGCCTGCCAAGGAAACACGGTCAGCCCATAACTTCTGTGATGCTTTCACAGCTGTAGCATCACAATCAGGTTCAGGATCAGGGCTCTCATTCTGCATCCAGACAGAAAATCGCTAATTAAAAAAGGTTGCCAAACACCCCCTCTCAAGAATATCTTAAAGAAAAATGCGTTTCAACACTTGCCATTAGAACTTTTATGAGATTTTTTTCTATTCGAGATTTCTGGTCCTCTTTAAGGGTGGAGGCTAGCAAACAGAACAAAGAAAAAAAGATTATAAAGTCCTTTATAAATAAAAAAAAGAAATCCTTCCTTTAGTTTGCATATTACAAAAAATATCCTGCATGAGCCACCTTACAGAAAATAACGATGAATTTGAGTTTTCAGAAGTTCCTCCTTGCTACCATTTCCTCTTATTTTCACTGGAACTGAGCAAAATAATCTTTACTTAGAAAAATATTTCATAAGTTAGTAGACAAGAGAAGAAAAAAAAAAAAAAAAAACACACAAGCAAATAATGTCTATAGCTTCTTGTTATTTCTGATTAAAACCTGAAGCAGCAGCAAAAAGCAGAAGAGCTTTGGACACCAAGAGAGGCAACCTCAGATAAAAACAGCAGCTTATGGAAGTGACAAAAAGAGATTCAAGTAATTTATAAAATACAAAAATGAAAATTAATATAAAAAATAAATTAAAAACAAACACTGTCTTGAAGATGAGAAGTCAGGTTTATCTAAATAATTGTTTCTCTAAATAGAGCAGGTTTGCCAGACTAACAGAAGATGCAAAACCATTTTTATCTACCCTAAAAATGACATTAGTCACCCTAAAAATGCTATTAATCAGCAAATCAAGGCATGAAGATTATTCCCACACTATCATTAGCAGCCATTACAAAAAGTAAAGTGTTTGTGTACTTATTGTGCAGCTACAGTAAGTTTTTTTTCTTAAAACATATGACACGCAAACGTCATGAGCTGAGTTCCAATAAAGAGTTTGAGGAGCATTTGGGATTTTAAAATCCAGAAAAATCATCATAACTTTTGTTAATTACTACAAAACATGTTTTTCCCCTTTAGCTCTGTCGTATTTCTCCCTCTGCCCTTAAAACTCAGGATATTTCTGTTACATTGCTTAAACTATACAGCTTCTTTTCTCAGTTAGAGTTCTACGCCTCAGGATGTCCTGGCACAGACTGTTTGAATGCAATGAATTTCATAATAGAAGAGCAAGAAAATTCAGCTTGAGAAAAGGAGGTCAAAAGTCAGCCCTGCTTAAAATTTCCTGTGGTCAAAACACTTGAAGTGCTGCAAAGTACGTGACTGACAACTATCTGTCATACTTCAAACACATGTCCTTTTTATCCTCAATAGGTTAACTGAGTATATTTCTTAAAAGAATACCTCTGCCCAGTAGCTCTAAAGAATATGTTACATAATCTTTTAGCTGGGCCATTAGATATGAACATTTGAGAGCTGTGGTCAATATGGAAGTAAGAAGAGTCCACCATCCTTCGCTGCGATATTCACACATAACATAATCCAACAGCCTGGAAAGTATTCAAAACAAGAGAAACAAGTTACAAACCTTTAAGAAACTTGCACATTGATTATTCAGTATCATTAATACAGAATCTCCCTCAGCTAACACAAATACTAGATTAAGCTAAGTCAGCTATTTCTATATGACAATGATTTTTCAAGTCTATATGACAATAGCTCCTTGGTATATAAACTAGAATTAAACTCAGTTACATTTCCTTGTATTTTGAATTTTGTAACTTCATAGTTTTAAACCAGGTTTAATTATATTCTCATTGCAGGTAGCAGGCAAGTTTCAGAAGTCATTCCTGAGATGGACAGCAGCTGGAAATAAAGTCCACAGTGGTGATTTGCGTTACAGAAGAGCTTTAAAAAAAACTGTATTTGCCCAATGAGGCAAATCCCCACAAAGAAGAAGTTTACACTAATTTAAGTGACCCATTACCTCCACTGTGTTTTAATAAAAGTGGAGTTCATGGATTCTAAAGGTTGATTTTCAATTTAATCCAGGTACCAGGAGCATCTCGAGTTTCTAATATGACTCAATATAAGAAAAGACATATGATGTTAGCCCATTACAAGTATGCATACTAAAGAAATGATCTGGGCTGGTACTCACTTCAAAGCTTTGGTGTAATCCTTGGCGTAGTAATATTCTTCACCCATCTGAACCACTGATTAGAAACAACAACCAACCACATGTATCAGACCAATGCTGAAAACTATTACAAAGTTAAAAGATGCATCTGAATCTATACTCACTCAAGTGACTCTTCATCCGTGGACATTTGTATTTCTTGAATTGTGCAACAGCATTACTCAACAAAGTGATTATTAACTCCTAACAGATAAATCAAGAGTACTGATATCACTATATATGTAACATTAGGATAGTGCTAATGGCATTGATTTGTATAACAAAACTTACCGAGTGAAGAACATTTTTCTCTTTCATCTGCAGGGCTAAAATCCCCAGCTTCTCTTTTTCAGGATCAGAAAGATCAAAGCCTGCATAAGACAGTGAAAAATCCATTACACTGGAATTTTATTAAGGCCCAAAGGGAATGACTTATGTAATTCATGCACCAACTCAGGCATGCTCAGATTCTTAAACATTCTTTTTCCTAGGAGATAGATATATTACTTTAAGAACTTCTCTGTATCCTACATTCTAAAAGTGAATTTCTGGAAAAAAAAAAAAAAAAGAAAAAAAGAAGTTGCTCAAAGAGCAAACTAATGCAAGATGACAAATCTTTAGATTGCATCTGTCAATATTTAAAACATATATGTTACTGCAGATTTGGAGTCTTTTTTCCACCTGAGCTCAAGTAAGGCTTCGAGGTCTTTTTTTTTTTTTTTTTTTTTAAGCAGCAGAACACACCAGCCTACAGGGAATTGTACATAGCTTTAAAAAACTAAAAATCACCTGCTAGAATACATTATCTTGACTAATATTTTAACCAGTATTTTCATCGTGGTAGTAGATTTTAAATCATTTTAAAACCAAGAATCACTTGAAGATAAAACAAGTTAAACAAGCATTTACACACAGGAAATGAAAAGATTTTTAAAAGAAGGCAGAAAGAGTCACAAAGCCTGAAATGAGAGCAGAGAGTAAAGGAGAGGTGACCAAAGGGAGAGAGATGATGACAGAGCATTTTAGAATCATTTATGTATTATGCATTTACTTAGGGCTATCCATTCAAAATCTGAAGGGATGAAAAACATGCTCCTTAACAGCAAAAACACATCTTCCTTTCTCAATTTAGTATCTAGGCATTGCATCTTCTGCAATCCATTTTGAAACTCAAATTGTTTTTTTCTAGAACATCGTAAGTTTCTATCTACAGCTGACATGACACAATATGAAAAGAAAGATGAATTTGTAACATCATGTAGAGAGATGTCACTAATATTAATATAGCAAGTTCTGCAACTTTTCTTCACAGTTGTGTATTCACATTGCTGCAACATATTCAATCTAAGTAGCTCAGGCAGCAGTAGCAACAGCTCCAGCATGGCCTATGCAACTCCTCTGAAAATCTGACCCTGCAGAAATCTGAGTTTTCTTTCTCCATTTTCTCCAGAGACCAAACACTTCCTGCACTTCAATACCAATTCATACCCCCAGCTAACACACAGGAGTGAATTCTTGGCCCTGCCCACGGCTCTGTGGAAAAATGGTGATATGCTTTTGCCTCAGCTAGTTGGCAGCATCAGAGACTAAGTTAAAGTTGGCCTGCAGTCATCAGAGAAGATACAGAACCATACTTAATATGCCCTGCCGCCAAGGTCTTTGTCCATAGAAGTCAAGCATTCCCGTCTGTGTTTCCAAGGGATCCGGATTGGGGTACATCACGGAGGACTGTTAAATCAACAAGCATCACTTATTATTTTAAGAAACAGAAGTAATCTAATGCTCTAACATACACAAACGCACATGAGAAACTTTGCTTCAAAATATTTAAATTTTCAGGCCATCTACATAAAAATTACTTCAGGAAACCAAAGTATTTAAATACTTCTCATTAACTCAATCTGACATGCTAGTTGATTCATTTTCATTGTTACAAATACAGTTATAGAAAAGCCTCCATAATCATTTTAAAACTAGTTCCAATAAAAAAAAGGCGGCATTAGGAATAAACGCATTCTTGAATGATCAGGACATACCAGGTAGGAAGTAGTTATGTATTTACCTAGCACATACATTTAATCACTGAGCATAGAGACCACTTCTATTCAGTCCTTTCAGACAGACAAATGCCAGAAAATGAGTAACTTTTTTTTAAATAATAATAATGCTCTTGCTTCTCTACTGTAAGCCACCAGAGGTACAATACATGTACTGAGAAATAATGGAAAAAATTGACAAAGTTTTCAAGTTTGAGATGTATAAAGCCAGAGATAAAAATTTTTCATGAGTATTTTTTAAAATGTGTCAATGACATCCAGAATTAAATAGAACAATTCATTATTCAGAACTAATTTTTCCAAGTATCTGTTAAAAAGTGAGAAAAGACATGTCACCTATGTCATTTACATGTATTATAGGTTATTACAGTAATTCACCTGCTGGTCACTTATCTGTTTGATTTTAAACTTACATCATGGTTGCAAAGCGTATTTGCTAGCTGTTTCCGTTCCTGGGCATAGTAGGCTGCCTGCTGGTAATAAAAACCTGGGTTCTGAGTTTGGATCGCTGTCAACCCCAGCTTAATTGCTTCATCAAACAGGTCACCAAAAGCCTGAAACCTAAAAACCGACAAGAATATTTCTCATTAGCTAGGTACAAAACAGTAGTTTTGAACTGAAAGGTATATTTCTGCTAAAAGATCTGGTTAGCCTAAAGGCAGGTAACTCTCTGAACTTAAATGTTTTAGCTCTACAGCTGCATCTATGTCATACCCTGTTCATTCCCAGCGACAAGTTGTCAATCATCAGTGCAAAACAGAATGACATCATATAGCTTTTATGATCTACTGTCTCTCTCTCTCTCTTCGATAAAAATACCTCAGAATTCATGTCTTACCTAGACAAATAAAACAATGAGCTTCATCATAAGGTTATATAGAAACTGTAAAAGCAGCATTCCAAAGCAAAATACATACTGTTTCGACATCCAGGCAGCATGCTCAAAAGCCAGTTCTGCACTTCCTATTTTCTTCTTGCACAAATCAATATGTTTTCTGAACTGAGCAATTGCATCCAGTGGAGTATTATGCTGAAAACAGAGGCGACAGATCTAGGGGAAAAATATATTTATGTACATATATATACACACACATAGTTAGCCTGTTAAAATTAAATTTAAATTAAAAATAAATTTAGTTAGTTCTAAAAAGCACAAATAATAGAGGGGAAAAGCAGTAAGCATGAAAACTTAATATATTGCACCTCAAACTGTGCAGTCCTCCATTTCACCAGTCCTTTCCTTTCTTCCCCAAATAATCAATGCAAGAGTGCTTAATTGACAAGTTCAAGACAGAATTGCAGAGCCAATAGGAAGACTATCTTTGAAGCCTGCAATTACCTCAAAAAAAATCATGTCCTTTAATGAAGTCCAACTCCAGGACCATTTTAAGTGTTGGGATAGTACTGTCTTACCCAGAAATTCCAAAGGATGGCCAAAGGGTTAGCTTCCTCCTCCAAACAAACAGTATCTAACCTACACTGGCCTAAATTCTCAGATTAATTCTCCCTGCACAAAGTGAGAGCTAAAGGTGCTCAGTCCTTCAGATAACTTTAATTCAAATTAACTCCAGTCTTTCAAGATCTTTCTGAAGTGCAAAGGTTCAGCTAAGGACTTTTTTTTGTGGAATTTAGAACCATCTTCACAAGCCTGAGGGTAAGAAACAGGAACCCAGTGATGCCTATTTCTAACCTGTCTCTTCTCATCTAGAGACAAACTAGCTCATCTAGAGACAAACTAGCTGAAAGCAACACAAAACGGAATATTTCAACCTTCGTAGATAAAAAAAAGTCTGCACATCTTTAAGTGCAGGTAACTGAAGTTTAGAAGTATGCTCATTACCTTGTAGTTTATAAATCCTGCCATAGTCTTGATTTCCAGCATGTTCGTTTCATGAGCCCTCAATTCATGCACAAGATTATACGCAGTTCTGTAATTTCTAGATATAAATACTTACATTAGAGCATGTTCACACATTGTAATGAGTTTTTACGTTATAACAAATGGTTTTAAAGTTACTGACATTAGAAAACAATCTTCCAATTAGAGGGTGTCCCCTCCTACCTCCCACCCCAGTAAACAATTGATCCATTACACACCTATTTAAATAGTATTACCTCTTAGGTTATGAGAGATATTTCCCAGTTTATTATCTATGGTTCAGTGGGAAAGGGAGGGAGTGCAAAAGCCTTACTTTAGAGCATTCTGCGTATCCTGTTTCAGTTCACTGAAGAATGCTATTTTGAATTGATGTCTAACAAATAAAAGCTGCAAAACACAAACAGTATTTACATCTTTCATAAACACCTAAATATACCTGCCGCCTATGGAGCAGGTGATTATTTTATAAACATCTGAAATTTAGTTTGAATTTGGTTTGAAAAACTGCTTTGGCAAAAGTTTTGTAGCATAATAAGAGCATTCATAAACCAAGCAAGACTATTTTTCTACTGTAATATGTTACATAGCTCATATATGTTAAAAAACAGAGCAAGATTACCTGATGAGTGGTTTTGTTCAAGAACTCCTTATGACATTTAACTCTTCGTATTTCTGTATAATAGTAGTTCTGCGCATGCTCATAGAAAGCATTCTCCAACCTGTAATGAAGTTGTTTTTCACTACCTTTCTCCCAACAAAATACAAGGAAACCAAAGAACTTCAAAAGAAACTACTTGCAATCACCTTTCACATTTTAGATATTATCAAAAGTCATACAACATAGTGCTAAACTCTTCTATAAATTACCATACTGGGTAGATATTTACACAAGGACTCTTCATACAAAACCTTGCATGGGGGTCAGCACAATGTATAAACAAGTAGATTCAAGAATCCCTGATGTCTCAATTTCTAACATAAAAATCTCTAATATACAACATGAGAAAGCCTGGGGATAAGCTGTTAGGATTGCACAAGTAAAGATCAGCAGCTGATCTCTTAAGATAGAAAAGCTAAGTGGAGAGAGTAAGCACACCTTGCAGAGGCTCCTGGGTTAAGCCTCAACACGTCCGAGGCCAGGCTAGGTAGGAACAGCAGTAAGAGACAGAAAATTATGGAGTACAGACTATGACTCCTTATCCCAGCAGCAGGTACCTGGAGCCCCAGGTGACAACTGAAGATGTGTTCACAAGATAATTCACTCAGGGGGAAAAGAAAAAAACAAGACCCAGAGCTCTGTACATAGCATGAGCCTAAGGAAGATCTAAAAAGTGTATTTGAAGGCGAGGAGGGAAAAAAATAAAAAATAAATAAATAAAAGACAACAAGACAACCAGAGAAATTCATTCAACAGCACTGACACACACAGATAATAAAGGATGAAGTACCAGTTCTGGGATTTGGCCAAGAAAGGATCACTGCAGTCTTTGGCCAAAGCAATTCCACTTGTGTTCTACTCCGCACAGAGAGGATGTGGATGAAAGCAAAAGAACAGAAGACTAGGAAGCAATTGTTAACTAGGAGTTCAGACACAAAAGAGACAATAAAGTCTCCCTGTCATTGCAGCACTGTATTGTTACTATATGAGAAGAGACAGGCCACTCACGAAAAAATAATTCCAGATTGTTAAAACAAACAAGAGAATCCACATTGCACATTTCTCTTACTACTATAAAATTCTGATTAAAAATTCAAAACGGAGTACTAATATCAGGACTTCTCTTCCTGATTTTAAATTTGAAACTATTTTTTAAATACGCAAAAAGAACTATCAGTCCTTAATGCTACAGCCTTATGTATGCATACTTGGAGACAAGTTCACCTCAAATGCAGCTACATGTAGTCTGTGAAGGCTAGTGCTAGCTAATGGGCACTAAACACCTGCTCTCTAGCAACAGACACAATAACATTAAGAATTTTACTGAGTATTATGCACAAACAATGGAGTGATGGAAGGAAGAATTAATCTGTCAGACCACAACTCCTCCTTCTAAGCACATCTGGAAAGAAGCACCTCCCCTTCTCCCCTGTGCCCCCCCCCCAAAAAACAAAAAACAAAACAAACAAAAAAACACACACACAAGACAAACACTACTTTTAATGAAACATTATTTGCCTCAGTTCCCTTTGTAGTACAGGCCAGTCTACCCTTCTCTGTATCTGAAAAATCCTTCTAATTTATATGAAGCCGCACTCCCCACAAACATTAAAGCAGACGACCATGAAGAACATGGTGACAAGGACATAGTATCTGCAGCCACATAAATATTACTTAGCATGGATGAAGAGAGAGACATTTTGTACAGCCAGAAAGTTGAGGGTGAAGTTAATACAAGAGTTTGCTAATACAAACTTACATGCAACAAAACATTTGTGGGGAAAAATGCTCAGAACCAGTAGGTCCAGGAAATGCTGCAGCAACAGAAGTCTGCTTTGCCTTTCCCCTGCTTGAGGAGGAGGGGGTGTTAGGATACCTAATAATGCTTCTCAGAAGGTCTCTGACAAAACCTTATGCAGAAAGCATAGAGGTGAGGAGCCCATCTGGAAGCAGAATAACTTGAAGGACTTCTGGCAATGGATAAACATTCACTGTTGGTCTATAAGACATGTGCCACCTAGCAAGGTGGTAGGCTGGGATAACAGCTCATCATCACTGTCAGCAAACAGAGGTTGTAAAACCACTTACCTTATAATATACCCAACAAGGTGATCAGTGTGTGGGAGTACAAAGAGGGATTTTCCAGAAAGGTCACAGGCATTACACAGAGCTGCTGCCCTCTCCGACGCAATAACATCTTCTCCTGGGGGAGCCAAGAAAAGCACAAGTAAGCGGTACGCAGCGCTACGTCAAACTAGCTCCAAAACATTGCCCAACACAAGGTATGGAAAATCTAGTACACCAAACACTGAGCTGCTTTTTGCTTCATTCAGAACACTATGTGCTTCATGCAGTGGAAGGGATTGCTAACTGCCAGAAAACTTCTGTAACAAGGTAGAAGTATACCAGAAGCTTTTCTTGAAAGTTCCGATCTCTCACACCTTTAAGGGTGCTGTATTTTGAAGACCAAAATAGTCAAAAACACCCTTCCTTAACCAAAGGCTACAAAATGTGTAGCCAGAGGGGAGGCAGCAGTTTGAGTGAAATTAAAGATTAACCACCACAATGTTTCACAGTTCCACTTAACTCACGTGTTTTTCAATCATCTTCCCTACTTTGGATCTGGCCATTAAAAGACTTCTTTGCTCCTCCACCAAGGGGAATTTGCTTTCCTTTAAACCCACTTTCCTATCAAAAAGGCATGACCTGGAAGTTGGCTCATCTAGAGACAAACTAGCTGAGAAGGCATACATGAACTTAAGCAGTCCCACCTCATGCCCTAAAACTTTATTTATACTTGATATATTTGAATAGTCTTAAACCAGAGGCTTCTGTAACTAGTAAATGCCTTTCCTATAAATTTTCAGGACTTTTAAGTTTTTTTCTTGATCTTCAGAAAGCTTTAAAATATCTTTTTTTTTTTTAAAATCAAAAATGGTAGGTTATATCAAAAGTTTCACTTGGACTTAAGAGCAAATAGTTAAAAAGAGAAACATAAGATTTTTAGGCTCAACTGGCTTGAGTTTCCATCTGTACATCTCAGTGCAGCCACAAATCTATTTCACACACAGAAATGACAATATATTAAGAACTGCAAACAGTATGACAAGTTACTGTCAGTTCAGGCCTTGTGAAAAATGAGACAGTCACAATAGTATACAAGGCAGTCTAATTTTCCTTCTAATACCTGGAGGCAAAGGTGTTTTTTTCTGAATCAAAACCACGGCAACTTTTGTATTTCGTCCCTGCAGACTTTGCCTATAAATAAATAAATAAGATAATGTCATGGTCTCATCTTATGTTAGAAAATGATCAGAAGAAAAAAAATGACATTTCAGTTTAGATAGAGCATTAAGAAATCATATGAGAAACAAAAGCAAATGCAACAATGCACTGCATCATGCATAGAATGCACTGTTCTTTCACCACATGGGAGAGGATAATTGCACTGAATTTAGTAAACAATAGTTTACTAAAGGAGTTCCAGTTGCCCTGAATTTGCGTCCAAGAAGAGAAACTATATATTTTATAAGGCAACGAGGACTGTGCAATGCAAACCCAGCCACGAGCTTGCAGTGCATTGGGACCCAAAGCAAAGGCCTCTACCTGACGATTTCGACTCGAGTGGCGCATTCGGACTGCTTTTCTTTCCACTGTGGCTCCTCCCAGTCTAGTTCGTAGAACACCACCACGAGGGCTGGAACCAGGTTCAGGTGCTTGTTCATCCAGCCAGTCTTCAGGATCCCTTTCGGAATATACCACTCATAGGACGTCCTCTGGAAATGTTCAGCACATCAGAGCAAGATAGTAGGTCCCTGCAAGCTTCTTTTAGTGGGGCAGGAGAAAAGGAATTGGCCTGTATATCCGTGCGGTTTGGGAAAACATCTGTCATGTTCCCTTGGACGTTCTTCCCCTCAAGCCTTTGTTTTTTTTCCCCTGAAGAGCAGGGCATACTCCTCAACCCCCAGCCTTTTTTCCTCCTAAAGAGCAGGACATACCCTATCACCAGGGCCAGCAGACACTAGGAATAAAGAGTGAGAGATGTGGCGTGGACAGGACTGAAAGGTCCAAGTGCAGCCGTGCACTTCACAGGCCTCTGCAAAGCACGGGGCCTATTTTGAAAATGGGGGTAGGGCTCCTATTTGCTCGGGAAGCTGTGAAAAGCAGCCAAAATGAGCCAAAGGCAGCAGAAACCATCTGGAGGTGCCCCGCATGACTGCACTATGGGGCTTTCCAAGGAGCAGACGCACGGACACGGCCGAGGCAGGCAGAAACGCGGCGCGAAGCCTCCTCCCGCTGCGCGCCCCTCGCCCCGGGGGCGGGCGGCTCCGGCGCTACCTTGGTGCGGCACTTGGGGTACTCGTGGTCGCCGGGCAGCACCTTGAAGGAGATGGGCACGCGGTCGGCGCGGCGGTTGGCGCAGAAGGCGTCCCACACGGCGCGGTGCACCGCGTTGTACACCACGTCCAGGCCCGTGAGCGTCACGAAGGCCATGGGCCGGCAG